ATTAAATAAAGATCATGTTCAATGAAGATATTTTGTAAATTTACTATCGTAAATATATCAAAGCTTAATTTTTGATTAGTAATATAAGAAATTTGGATAACTTTAAAGGTGATTTTTTTGCACCCTCAGATTCCAGATTTTCAAATAGTTGTATCTCGGCCAAATATTGTCCTATCCTAACAAACCATACATCAATGGAAAACGTATTTATTCAGCTTATGATGTATAAATCTCAATTTCAAAAAATTGACCCTTAAGACTGGTTTTGTGGTCCAGGGTCACATTTCATTGTGTGTCAATAGACTAAGACAAACTACAATATTATTAACTATGATATTTCTTTTTATATTGAAATTAGTTTATAAAAGTTAAATATAATTAAACAATAGAATCTAGTGATTCAGATGATACGTGTTTTGTCACTGAACTTGTATTGTTCAAATTAAATTATACAACAATGTTTGTCTTGCAACATAATGCAGCCGTTTTAATGGAAATTCTAAACCATCTGTTAATAATGAAAACTTTCTTTAGCAGTTTTTTATTATTATTGGTTAAAATCTTCCAATTCATGTACAATTTGAGCATATAGAAAACAAGTGAATGGGTTTCATTCAAGCAAAACCTCCAAGTCCAGCCTGATTTTACAAACTAATTACACAGTAGGAAAGATTTAAATTATTATTAACACTGTGAGAATCATTTTATGGTGAAACTTCAAACAACACTCTATAGTTCCTTAATCAGGTTAATTAAAGGTGCATTTGTGCTTTTGGGCGCAACTTCATATTTTGTTTATCTCACACAATTTGTTTGACTATTTTAACATAAAAATGTTGCTCACTGTGACGATGTGACATTTTTTCAAGTGCCTTTTTAGGCTTTTTAAAAATCTAAAACTCTTCTCACAGGGAGGGCAGTAGTACTTCTCTCCAGTATGAACTTGCTCGTGCCTTTTCAGGTTTCCAGAGTGACTAAAACTCTTGTCACAATATGAGCACTTGTAAGGTTTTTCTCCAGTATGAATTCTTTGGTGCTGTTTCAGATGGGCAGCTCTAGTAAATCTCTTCCCACACTCACAACACACATGATCTCTCTCACCGGTGTGTATTTTCTGGTGCATTTTACAATGATTTAGCCGAGCAAAACTCTTTCCACAAAACAAACATACATAAGGTCTTACATTTGTATGAATTATCATGTGTTTTTTCAGAAATGCTGATGATTTAAAATCTGTACCACACTGATCACAGGTAATTGGCTTTACTCCAGAGTGAACGAGCAGGTGACGGTTGAGACCACTTTTACATCTGAAACTCTTTCCACACTGAGTACAGTAATACGGTTTCTCTCCAGTATGAACTCGCTCATGCTTTTTCAGGTGTTCAGACTGAGTGAAACTCTTGTCACAATATGAGCACTTGTGAGGTTTTTCTCCAGTGTGAATTCTTTGGTGGCGTTGCAGAGTGTCAGATCTAGTAAAGCTCTTTGGACAGTCACAACACACATGATCTTTCTCACCGGTGTGTATTTTTTGGTGCCGTTTACAATGATCCAGTTGAGCAAAACTCTCTCCACAAGAAAAACATGCAAAAGGCCTTTCATTTGTGTGAATTTTCATGTGGTTTTTTAGATGTACTGATGATTTAAAATCACTACCACACTGATCACAGGTAAATGGCCTTTCTCCAGAGTGAACGAGCAGATGAACATTGAGATCAGTTTTATCTGTGAAACTCTTTCCACACTGAGTACAGTGATACGGCTTCTCTCCAGTGTGAACTCGCTCATGTATTTTCATGGTTCCTGCCTGAGTGAAACTCTTGTCACAATATGAGCACTTGTGAGGTTTTTCTCCAGTGTGAATCATTTGGTGCAGCTTTTAAGGTTTCTTTTGTGTGAGAAACTCTTTTCGCACTGTGAGCAGTTGTGCAGCTTTTTGGCTTTTATTCTTTGAGTTCTGAAGTCACAGTGTTTCTCCTCCTCTTCATTCGGTTCTTGTTTTTGCTCTTTCATCTCAATCCGGTCTAAAATAAACAAGTAAGAATCAGTTTATGTGAACCCTGATTTAACAGCAGAAAACAACAGAGATCAGATAATTGTAAAAAGAATCAGATTTCTGATGTGCAAAAGATTAGATAATTATCTTGTGGATGACAACAGTGTTATGATAATTTAAATGCATTTCTGTATCATTTATCATCCATATACTGATCATAATTTCACAACTAACAAAAACAGTCAGTAATTAAGAACCAAGAACCAACCCGTTTGTTCCTCAGTATCTTCATGTTTTATTCTGGATGGTTCTGGATCACTCATGTCTTCAATCTCCTCTTTAATAAACTCCATCTTTAACAATCACAGATTTCAGCTGCTGCACCTGGAGTTTGTTCTTCTCTTGTAGGATGATGTGAATATTCTCCAGTATTTATAGGTGAATTGTTGTGGGAGGGGCTTCACTGATCATTGTCTGATACTGAGACCCACAGGACCAGATCTGGAGAAATTAAAATACAGGACTTAATTTATACTGAACTGCTTCAATTATGCTGAAATTAAATGAAAATATTTGCTGTTAGAAATACAGAGTATTTTTTATTATTAGCACATAAAACAGCAAACTCATTTTTATGAAAGGCAGGATATTGAACAGCGAGTTGCATTGTTGAAAGGAAATGCACCCCAGTGTAGTTTTACTTTAGCATCAGATTTAAAAATTTACAAATGTATGTTTGTAATATAAATGACAAAATATCAGAATAACTGAGCTGTCACATTTAACTCCGGTGCTATCTCTTTCAAATAGTTCCTTGTTTTCACCTTCATTATGATGATGTCTGAGATCTTCTGTAAATTGGCACATTAAGCATATTTTACTTGTGTGAATAGGTAGACAAGCTAAAGGATCATCACCATTGAAATTTCACTCCATTCAGTTGTTGTCTTTGCTCTTTCACTTCTATCTGGTCTAAAATAAACCTATTAATAAGTTAGAATCATTTCAAGGTGAGTATTAAGTATCAGATCTTTGATCTTCAAAGGTTAGTTCGGTCTTTCCTTTGCAGTGTTGGGGGTACAAGTAACATAAGTTACGAAATCAGATGACCCTTTTCAAGTAACTAGTAAAGTAACGCATTACTTTTTAATGTACAATTTACATCGGAGTTACTTTTCCAAATAAGTATCACAAGTTACTTTGTTTTCACATTTACTGACTGTGTTCGCTGTGTAAACATGATGCTTTCTGTATTTCTAGACTAAATGTGAACATGCATTTACTCATTTCACGTGCACAAAAACAGCGTAAAATGAAATGTAAATTCAGAATAAGGTCTCAAACCTGCAATAATTAAATATATCAAATAACACTACTGTATTTTATCCCATTTTACTAACCAATGCCTTTGCTGCTGACATTCGATAATCCAATTCAACCATAGTAAGAATGCCTTTAGATCAACAACATTTGTGTTTCTTTCTTCTTTTTATTCATGAAGAGTGTTGAACTTTCTTCTCCTGCATCAGATTCTTCATGCAATCCAGAAAAGCAGCAGTTTGTTTGAGCTGCGCGCTCTACTGTACAGACGTGAATTAATATTTCCTTCAGCCTGAAGCTTATTCATTTCACTTTTGCTGTGAAAGCTTACATTTGCCAAAGACAGAACTTGTTTTATTAAAAACAAACAAGCAAGCCCAGCCCAGATGAGAAAAATAACACATTTTGATTGTTTTTGAAAGTTACTTATAAAAGTAATTACAATATTGTGCTACTCCCTAAATAAGTAATTGCATTATTTACTTTTTATGGGAAGTAATGTGTTACATTATTTTTGCGTTACCTTTTCTCATCTGGGCTGGGCTTGCTTGTTTGTTTTTAATATAAAACACCAAGCACAATACCTGAGACACCAAGCACACAACCTGAGACACCGAGCACAGAACCTGAGACACCGAGCATACCTGAGACACCAAGCACTAGGCCTGTTTGTAAACCGAAATCGCGATTTGAAAGGGTGCGATTTTCAAATCGCAAGAGCGATTATTTTGATGAAGGACTATCAAATATGTAACAAGCATCTACGTAGTTTTTGACAGTTTGCTTCATGCGCATTTTACTTTGATGCAGAGTTTAACCAATAGGGGGCATTCACTGCACGTGCTGACTGAACCAGCAAATAACGCCATTTGGAAAAGATAAGCGCGAGCGGGAGCAGCAGTTCAACTTCCCAACAAAGTGTGTCTGCAGAAGAGCAAAGTCCTGCAGACGACTTGACACCTAAACGAAAAAGCACCGTGTATGTTTGGAATTATTTTTCAACGAAACGATTTTGACGTTCGGATGTACTTCGAAGGGAAGTACTTTGTAAAACCTGCCGAACGTCTGTGTCGACCTCACGAGGCAACACAACCAACCTGTATCAGCACCTGCAGAAGTATCACAGACAAATCTATGATGAATGCATGGCCAAAAGGCCCACCGATGAACACACTTCGTCACAACCACCGCGACTGACATCCAAGCAAACTTCAATTGTCTACCTTTAAATTAACGTCCAAAACAAATATTATCTGTAAAAGTAATCCGTATGAAACATACGCGATGTCCAGTTTTCCCGTCTCAACTCATTACATCGAATGCGGTCACGCCCACGAGCCGATCGCGCTTTTCAGATCGTAAACATCCACATCGCCTCCGCATAAACAAACGTGAAGAGTTCATCCCGGTTACTTTTTGTTTCTGGAAGAAGACGCTCTGAGAGAAATAACCCAGAATTTACCTCACAACGCAATGCGTCGCGCAGCTAGATCCAGTGGAGAATATCACTGTGATGAGTAGCCTAAGATTACTTGCATCTGTTGTTATTGTGACATAACTTGTACACATTTTACTAGTTAGACTTTTCAAAATTCCTGACTACATGTTTGAAATCAAGTGAAACATTTTGAAATTAAAAAAATGGCCACAATGTTTAAGAGGTTAAGAGAAATAAACAGTAGCATAGTTTGTGATAATACTTGGTATTTCTTTGGTGCTGTTAAAACCACCACAACAAACCTGTAGCTCTTTTATGAAACACTATTTAAGCTGTTTAATACTGAATATGAATCTGAACAAACTACTACACTTATAGGATTGATTTCTTCCACCCACTGCAAAGCCATTAGAATTGCCATCATTTCTGTTGTGAATACAGATACATCGTTAGATAACCTTTTAGCTGTGCTATATTTAAAATAGGGAATATATATGGCTGCTGCTGTATACCCAGAATCCGGATTTTTGACCCATCCGTATATATTTGAATACTATTAAGGAGCGTGTAAACTGCGCATGCTCCTTGACCTTGCGCTCAAACCACGCCCGCTTGATGTCGTCAGACCTGAAACACCCTGGGGGGCAAACTAGCCTATTGAGTAAGCACCAATCAGAGGCCGCATTTTTATGACGTCATCATGTAGACTTCTTACAAAGTATTTTACAGTATTTTAAAAATACAAAACACTGAAGTATTTTGATACAAAATACGAAGCCATTTTCATCAACCCTATCAAATACAAATTACAAAATACCATTTTGTATTTGAAATACATGTATCATAAATACTGCCCATCCCTGCTTGTGATACTTATTTGGAAAAGTAACTCCGATGTAAATTGTACATTAAAAAGTACTGCGTTACTTTACTAGTTACTTGAAAAGGGTCATCTGATTTCGTAACTTATGTTACTTGTACCCCCAACACTGCAAAGGAAAGACAGAACTAACCTTTGAAGATCAAAGATCTGATACTTAATACTCACCTTGAAATGATTCTAACTTATTAATAGGTTTATTTTAGACCAGATAGAAGTGAAAGAGCAAAGACAACAACTGAATGGAGTGAAATTTCAATGGTGATGATCCTTTAGCTTGTCTACCTATTCACACAAGTAAAATATGCTTAATGTGCCAATTTACAGAAGATCTCAGACATCATCATAATGAATGAGGAGAAAACAGGGAACTATTGGAGAGAGATTTAAACATGTTAGACCCGTTGTTTCAAACTTATGTTATTTGTGTTAAAAATAGGAATTGTACATTGATACAGGACAGGCTATGAGATTTAAAAATGTTTCTTTAATTTGAATAAAATAGGAAAAGCCAAACAGCAAAATAGTGTTTAATTTGTTGTCAGCCAAAGCAATGCAGAAATACAAGTGGCAATGTAGTACAGCAATAAAATACAAATGTCACATACAAAAAAAAAAAAGACATCCCAATTAGACTGTAAATTGGCTCAACAGAAAAAAACAGTATTTAATCCAAAGCATTAGTTTGGAGCACTATAAGACTTATGACAAATCAGTAATACATATAGTGTTCTGATTGTACATTAAATTATGACAAATAAAACAAGATAAAAGGCTTGATTAATTAAGAAAGAATGTTTAAATCACATCAGTTCAACATTAATACTTTTGCAAATATTTGGGATGTACAGCCATTATCATAAACTCAACACAGATAGAATCTACACATTTAAAAAAAAACATCTCTATGCAACATACCTGTAAGTTGTCTATCTGTATAACTAATAAAATTACCACTTCACAGAAACACCTCCTTTATGTGTGGTTCCTAGTAATGTGTTAGTCTATTTATAGTGTTTTAGTCAGATATTTGATTCTGTTCAGAGGCAGTAATAGATTGTATTTGTGTCGGTCCTTTAGTTCTCACGTTAATTACTCTTTCTATCTACATCTTGTGTTATAAATGACCAGGAATATCCAGTGGGCGGCAGCATCACAATAAAGAGGCTCTAGTTTCCATTTCAATCGAAAAATAAAAAAATTAATGGAGGATGTGCGGAAGAAAGTAGTGATTTACAAAGTTTGACACGAAAAAGCTTGAGAGGTGAGGTATTTCAGTTCTGGATATTGTAGCGAGTAATGAACAGTAGGATTTATTAAATGTTTTGTTACGAGTGTTTCATTTCTAATGTAGAAAAGATGTACTAACACGGTTTAGAAATTATATTGATCGGTCTGGAGATGTTTATCTTGTGTGGGTTTAAGTTGTCAGTTTTAGATTTAAGTGTAGTTTAAATGTAATTTAACCTGTGCTTTGTTTCATCCTTATTTAAAACCATAACTTAGGCCTACATTAAGATGAGCTTCCTTTCAATAGTTTTATATGCTAGTAATATACAACTTTCTGACAGCAAATGCATGTGTCCACTTAGGTTCAATGTAATATAAATATTAATTATAATGTCACCAAGTGGTACAGTGATATTACACTTACACACCAAACTGTACGCTGAATGGTAATACAGGTTAGAACTGCAAGTGTGATTGTTAGATGATCTGAAGGCATCTTGGCTTTGTTTTTTGAGCAGTAAAGTCTGTATTTGGCATTTGGAACATCTTGACTTGAGAGATTCTTTTGGAAAAGGAGAGAAGACTTTCTTCGCCACTAGCAGAGGAGAAACTCCAGGTCCGACGGGGATCCGCCGGCCGCGCCGTTCTCAAGCCCGCCCACCTCTGCTCACTCAAGCCGGGCTCCGCTCACTCTAGACCGCGGCTCACTCTAGGCATCCGGCCTCCGCTCACTCAAGGCCGCGGTGTGTGACGCTGTTTCGTTGTGAAAGCGAAACTACTTTGCTTTTCAGACCGATGAGCTTTGTAAAAATCGACGCGTTTCAGAAAGGCGGGGCTCCATATCTCTTAGTTTTTCAACAAGTTGCTTTCTTTGTCTATTATATGCCTCACAATGTAAAAGCACATGTTCAACTGTTTCTGTTATTCCACAGTAACTGCAGCTATCTGACTCACTTTTTCCTATTATATACAATGAATAATTAAGGTTAGAGTGTCCTATACGGATCCTGGTTATAACAGTATCTTCTCTTCTGTTTCCATATACCTTTCTTTCAATCCCCACTTTCTGTTGAATGCTAAATAAGTGTCTCCCTTTTGACTCTTTATTCCATACGTCTTGCCACATACTTCCAACTGCTGTTTTAATAATACCTTTTACTTCTGTTTTACTTAAAGGGATTTCTATGTCAATCTCTTCTTTTCTCAATGCTGACTTGGCCAGCTTATCCACCTCCTCATTTCCTTCTACACCTACATGGGCAGGTATCCATAAAAACTCTACTCTTACTCCTGTTTGGTTTATTCTATATAAATTCTGTAAAATTTCATAAAGTATATCCTGTCTAGATGCTGATTTCCCACTATTTAAGCTGTTTAATACTGAATATGAATCTGAACAAACTACTACACTTATAGGATTGATTTCTTCCACCCACTGCAAAGCCATTAGAATTGCCATCATTTCTGTTGTGAATACAGATACATCGTTAGATAACCTTTTAGCTGTGCTATATTTAAAATAGGGAATATATATGGCTGCTGCTGTATACCCAGAATCCGGATTTTTGACCCATCCGTATATATTTGAATACTATTAAAGAGCGTGTAAACTGCGCATGCTCCTTGACCTTGCGCTCAAACCACGCCCGCTTGATGTCGTCAGACCTGAAACACCCTGGGGGGCAAACTAGCCTATTGAGTAAGCACCAATCAGAGGCCGCATTTTTATGACGTCATCATGTAGACTTCTTACAAAGTATTTTACAGTATTTTAAAAATACAAAACACTGAAGTATTTTGATACAAAATACGAAGCCATTTTCATCAACCCTATCAAATACAAATTACAAAATACCATTTTGTATTTGAAATACGTATTTGAAATACATGTATCATAAATACTGCCCATCCCTGCTTGTGATACTTATTTGGAAAAGTAACTCCGATGTAAATTGTACATTAAAAAGTAATGCGTTACTTTACTAGTTACTTGAAAAGGGTCATCTGATTTCGTAACTTATGTTACTTGTACCCCCAACACTGCAAAGGAAAGACAGAACTAACCTTTGAAGATCAAAGATCTGATACTTAATACTCACCTTGAAATGATTCTAACTTATTAATAGGTTTATTTTAGACCAGATAGAAGTGAAAGAGCAAAGACAACAACTGAATGGAGTGAAATTTCAATGGTGATGATCCTTTAGCTTGTCTACCTATTCACACAAGTAAAATATGCTTAATGTGCCAATTTACAGAAGATCTCAGACATCATCATAATGAATGAGGAGAAAACAGGGAACTATTGGAGAGAGATTTAAACATGTTAGACCCGTTGTTTCAAACTTATGTTATTTGTGTTAAAAATAGGAATTGTACATTGATACAGGACAGGCTATGAGATTTAAAAATGTTTCTTTAATTTGAATAAAATAGGAAAAGCCAAACAGCAAAATAGTGTTTAATTTGTTGTCAGCCAAAGCAATGCAGAAATACAAGTGGCAATGTAGTACAGCAATAAAATACAAATGTCACATACAAAAAAAAAAAAGACATCCCAATTAGACTGTAAATTGGCTCAACAGAAAAAAACAGTATTTAATCCAAAGCATTAGTTTGGAGCACTATAAGACTTATGACAAATCAGTAATACATATAGTGTTCTGATTGTACATTAAATTATGACAAATAAAACAAGATAAAAGGCTTGATTAATTAAGAAAGAATGTTTAAATCACATCAGTTCAACATTAATACTTTTGCAAATATTTGGGATGTACAGCCATTATCATAAACTCAACACAGATAGAATCTACACATTTAAAAAAAAACATCTCTATGCAACATACCTGTAAGTTGTCTATCTGTATAACTAATAAAATTACCACTTCACAGAAACACCTCCTTTATATGTGGTTCCTAGTAATGTGTTAGTCTATTTATAGTGTTTTAGTCAGATATTTGATTCTGTTCAGAGGCAGTAATAGATTGTATTTGTGTCGGTCCTTTAGTTCTCACGTTAATTACTCTTTCTATCTACATCTTGTGTTATAAATGACCAGGAATATCCAGTGGGCGGCAGCATCACAATAAAGAGGCTCTAGTTTCCATTTCAATCGAAAAATAAAATAAATAAACGGAGGATGTGCGGAAGAAAGTAGTGATTTACAAAGTTTGACACGAAAAAGCTTGAGAGGTGAGGTATTTCAGTTCTGGATATTGTAGCGAGTAATGAACAGTAGGATTTATTAAATGTTTTGTTACGAGTGTTTCATTTCTAATGTAGAAAAGATGTACTAACACGGTTTAGAAATTATATTGATCGGTCTGGAGATGTTTATCTTGTGTGGGTTTAAGTTGTCAGTTTTAGATTTAAGTGTAGTTTAAATGTAATTTAACCTGTGCTTTGTTTCATCCTTATTTAAAACCATAACTTAGGCCTACATTAAGATGAGCTTCCTTTCAATAGTTTTATATGCTAGTAATATACAACTTTCTGACAGCAAATGCATGTGTCCACTTAGGTTCAATGTAATATAAATATTAATTATAATGTCACCAAGTGGTACAGTGATATTACACTTACACACCAAACTGTACGCTGAATGGTAATACAGGTTAGAACTGCAAGTGTGATTGTTAGATGATCTGAAGGCATCTTGGCTTTGTTTTTTGAGCAGTAAAGTCTGTATTTGGCATTTGGAACATCTTGACTTGAGAGATTCTTTTGGAAAAGGAGAGAAGACTTTCTTCGCCACTAGCAGAGGAGAAACTCCAGGTCCGACGGGGATCCGCCGGCCGCGCCGTTCTCAAGCCCGCCCACCTCTGCTCACTCAAGCCGGGCTCCGCTCACTCTAGACCGCGGCTCACTCTAGGCATCCGGCCTCCGCTCACTCAAGGCCGCGGTGTGTGACGCTGTTTCGTTGTGAAAGCGAAACTACTTTGCTTTTCAGACCGATGAGCTTTGTAAAAATCGACGCGTTTCAGAAAGGCGGGGCTTAGTGGAGAAACAATAATGTACAGTTTGTGGAAAATAATGTGTTTTTTTTACCTTAAACCGCATAAACACATTTCATTACACCAAATACACAAAATAATGTTCTTTTTAGCAACATCATATGACACCTTTAAGACGAGATTGACGACATGAGTGATCTCATAAAAGTAACTATTTTCTTGTAAATTTTCTTGTAGTTATTTGAAAAGGTCATCTGATTTTAACGTAGGCTAGTCCTGTATTTTAATTTCTCCAGATCTGGTCCTGTGGGTCTCAGTATCAATGATCACAGTTCACACCTACAGTGAAGCCCCTCCCACAACAATTCACCTATAAATACTGGAGAATATTCACATCATCCTACAAGAGAAGAACAAACTCCAGGTGCAGCAGCTGAAATCTGTGATTGTTAAAGATGGAGTTTATTAAAGAGGAGATTGAAGACATGAGTTATTCAGAACCATCCAGAATTTGACTGTTTTTGTTAGTTGTGAAATTATGATCAGTATATGGATGATAAATGATACAGAAATGCTATTAAATGATCATAACACCGTTGTCATCCACATTTAATTGAATTCACAAGATAATTATCTAGTCTTTGGCACATCAAAGATCTGATACTTTATACAAGTATCTAATCTCTGTTGTTTTCTGCTGTTAAATCAGGGTTCACATAAACTGATTCTTACTTGTTTATTTCAGACCGGATTGAGATGAAAGAGCAAAAACAAAAACCGAATGAAGTGGAGGAAAAACACTGTGACTTCAAAACTCAAAGAACAAAGGCCAAAAAGCTGCACAACTGCTCACAGTGTGAAAAGAGTTTCTCACAAAAAGGAAACCTTGAAAGACACAAGAGAATCCACACTGGAGAGAAACCATACACATGCTCTCAGTGTGGAAAGAGTTTTTCACAACTGGACACTTATAAACAGCATCAGAAAACACATAATGAAGTGAAAGATCACGTGTGTTTGGATTGTGGGAAGAGCTTCGCTAAAGTTAGCCGTTTGAAACTGCACCAAATGATTCACACTGGAGAAAAACCTCACAAGTGCTCATATTGTGACAAGAGTTTCACTCAGGCAGGAACCATGAGAATACATGAGCGAGTTCACACTGGAGAGAAGCCGTATCACTGTACTCAGTGTGGGAAGAGTTTCAGATATAGAACTGATCTCAATTATCATCTGCTCGTTCACTCTGGAGAAAAGCCGATTACCGGTGATCAGTGTGGTAAAGATTTTCTGAAAGAACACATGAAAATGCATACAAATGAAAGGCCTTATGCATGTTTTTATTGTGGAAAGTGTTTTGCTCGGCTGGGTCATTGTAAACGGCACCAGAAAATACATACCGGTGAGAGAGATCATGTGTGTTCTGAGTGTGGGAAGAGCTTTACTACAGCTGATCATCTGAAACGGCACCAAAGAATTCATACTGGAGAAAGACCTTACAATTGCTCATATTGTGACAAGAGTTTCACTGAGTCTGTAGACCTGAAATTACATAAGCAGATTCATACTGGAGAGAAGCCATATCACTGTACTCAGTGTGGAGAGAGTTTCAGATATAAAACTGATCTCAGTTGTCATCTGCTCGTTCACTCTGGAGAAAAGCCATTTACCTGTGATCAGTGTGGTAAAGATTTTAAATCATCAGCATTTCTGAAAGAACACATGATAATTCATACAAATGTAAGACCTTATGTATGTTTTTATTGTGGAAAGAGTTTTGCTCGGCTGGGTCATTGTAAACGGCACCAGAAAATACACACCGGTGAGAGAGATCATGTGTGTTCTGAGTGTCCGAAGAGCTTTACTACAGCTGACCATCTGAAACAGCACCAAAGAGTTCACACTGGAGAAAGACCTTACAAGTGCTCATATTGTGACAAGAGTTTCACTCAGTCTGGAGACCTGAAAGCACATGAGCAAGTTCATACTGGAGAGAAGCCGTACTACTGCCCTCCCTGTGAGAAGAGCTTTAGACATTTAAAAAGCCTTAAAAAGCACTTGAAAAAATGTCACACATCGTCACAGTGAGCAACATTTTTATGTCAAAATAGTCAAGTAAAGAGATAAACAAAATATGAAGTTGCTCCCAAAAGCAGAAATGCACCTAGTTTAGTTTTGTGAATTTTGACTTGTTTGTAGTCTGATTAAGGAACTATAGAGTGATGTTTGAAGTTTCGCCAGAAAATAATTCTCAGTGTACATAATAATTTGTATCTTTTTTACTGTGTAATTTGCAAAATCAGGTTGGACTGTGTGCTAAGGAGGTCTTGCTTGAATGAGACACAATTACTTGTTTTCTATATGCTCAGATTGTACATGAGTTGGAAGATTTTAACCAATAAAAAAAAACTGCTAACGAAAGTTTTCATTATTAACAGATGGTTTAGAATTTCCATTAAAACGGCTGCATTATGTTGCAAGACAAACATTGTTGTATAATTTAATTTGAATAATATAAGTTCAGTGAAAAAACATGCATCATCTGAATCACTAGATTCTATTGTTTAATTATATTTAACTTTTATAAACTAATTTCAATATAAAAATAAATATCATAGTTAATAATCTTGTAGTTTGTCTCAGTCTGTTGACACACAATGAAATGTGACCCTGGACCATAAATCCAGTCATAAGGGTAATTTAAAAAAAATTAAGTTAATTAAATTCATGCATCATAAGCTGAATAAATCAGCTTTCCATTGATGTATGGTTTGTTAGGATCGGACAATATTTGGCCGAGATACAACTATTTGAAAATCTGGAATCTGAGGGTGCAAAAAAATCAAAACATTGAGAAAATCACCTTTAAAGTTGTCCAAATGAAGTTCTTAGCAATGCATATTACTAATCAAAAATGAAGTTTTGATATATTTACAGTAGGAAATTTACAAAATATCTTCATGGAACACGATCTTTATTTAATATCCTAAAGATTTTTGCCATAAAAGAAAAATCAATTATTCTGACCCATACAATGTATTTTTGGCTATTGCTACAAATATCCCTGTTTCTCTTGTTTGGTGCCTGTGTCAAACATGTCAGCCCAATCAGCAGCAACATATAAACCACGCGGTATTAAAGAGACAGCTCGCACAATGTAATTAACATCCAAAGGAAACATGTCGTTCAAACCGGAAACCGTAGCAAAACGTTGTGCACCGTTTTGAGCTTGAACTTGCCCCAGATACTGAAGCAGTCACATGGTTTTCAGGCGAACGAAGCTTTGGACGTCATAGATTACGTGCTTTTCTCAAAACGAATCAAGCTCCGATACAGTGCTTTAATGTGAAATGTGTTGTTTTTTTGATACAAGCTTCAAAGCTTCGGTGTTGAACGTAACATCACTAGAAATCACCCTTAACAGATGAAAGACAGTACGACAAAGATAATGCTTTCCATCAGCGGACATTGAAACTAATGTTTTATTGTCAATATTAGATTGAGCTGAAGAATGAATGCTGTATCAGATGCAGGTAATCACACTTGCTCAGTCCATCTCTCTCTCACAATACTCTACTCTACATAACAGAGTGAGCTTTTAATTAAGTAATACAATAAGTTTTTAATGAAGCAACTCAACGTTCCTTCGTTACTATTTCTAAAGTGACGTTTTCGAATTAGTAACGGAGGCTTCAGGGGCCTGATGTATAAACGTTGCGTACGCACAAAATGGGCATGGAAATGTGTGCAAGCAATTTTCCACGCACATATCGGGACTTATAAAAAATAAACTAGACGTAAATATGTGCGCACCATACGGACACTCTCTAGACTATGAGTAAGCACTCTTTTACTGGAGTGAGCGAAATAATGAAGCAAACAGAATGATTTTAAAGTCTGTTTTACATTTGGCATACACATTTAGATTAAATATGACACCCTGAATAATGAAGTTAAGCACTGACATTTCATGAAATTATAATCCAGAAATTACAACATTTTTATATGAATTTAAACAGAAATATTTGCAGTGGATGTGCTGCTTACGAACAATTTTCCTGTGGGATGCGATTTAATGTTTTAATCACAGCGAGGATTGCTTGGCGTATGACAATTCCGCTTTAAATTGTGTTCTAAATAGCAAAACTCATGTTCTGAGAAAATACTTTTGCGTGAATAATGATCACTGATGTGAACTTGATTCGTCTGATGCTTTGGAACATA